GTTGGTGAACACCAGTGTGCCGGCTCTGCCAGTGGGATTCCAAGCCCTTGGATGGCAGGCAGGCAGCTCTGGGCAGGCAGCAAGGATCAGCCTGCAGGGGTTGGGCTGGCAGCTGCCAGAGCAGCAACCACTCTGAATCAGCAGCTCCCAGGCACTTCCAGGAGGCAGAGCCCTTCCAACCAGCTCTCTGCAGGGCTTCCAGGAACAGCAAATGGGCAGCAGTGCCCTTACAGTGATTAATCATCTTCCTGGGGTGCAGGGAATCGTTATTTCCCACTCCCCTGTGCAGCTGGGGCTGCACCCACACGCCACGGCAGCCTCGCAGCTGGCAGCACCCTTGGATCAACAGGAGGAGGGCAGGGGGCAGAGACCCTGGAGAGAGGAGGCTGGCACAGCCAGGAAGAGTGGGCTGGAGCCTCATGCAGAATGTGGGTGGTGCTGTGAGGCCATAAAACACAGGGATTTTGGGGGGGAGTTCAAGGGGAAATGGGGGATGTTTGCTGTCTGAATGTTTTCTCCTAAAACAAGCGCTGAAATGATTTAGAACGACAGTCAAACACTTGATTACTGCAGTGATTTTGTCAAACATACGGCAGCACTGAGTGAACTGTCTTTAGAAAGGAACAGGATTATCATGGAATCCTCTAGGTTGGAGCAGCCCTTCAAGATCATTGAGTTCAACAGTTAAGCCAGCACTGCCACCACACTAACCATATCCCCAAGAGCCACATCCACACATCTCTTAAATCCCTCCAGGGATGGTGACTCCACCATTGCCCTTCACAGCCTATTCCATTGCCTAGCCACACTTCCTGTGAATAAATTTTTTCCAATCCTGCTGCATCCTTTCTCAGACTTGTAAGAGCAAGAAGGTCCCTCTTGAGCCTCTGTTTTTCCAGGCTGAGAGCTGTTTTTAGCACTGGGTAGAACACTGGATGCAGAACCACATGCTGCACCAGCACCACAGCCATGCCATGGGCCAGCACCACTGGACTGGACATCTTCAGGTGTCTTTGTTTTGTCACTATTCAGAAGGAAGGAAGTCCCATGTACCTCAGGAACACTCGAGACGCACGGCCTGAACTCAAAGCAGCTGTAGCCCCATTGCTGAAGGAATGCAGTCAGCTTTGCAGAGTGGTGGGGAGGGCAGTGGACAGCACAGAGAGTAGATGTGCTCAGTGCCAGCTGTGCCCCAGGCTGAGACAGAACAGCTCATTTCACCAGTTCCTGCCAATTCTACTGGTCACTCATCCCTGAGATGGTTTTGTGAGTTCTGCTCTTCACTGATCAGTCAGGGATGGGACAGGCACCCACTCTCACCCTGATGTCAGACCCACTCTCCAGCTGGGCTCACCTGGTCACTGGCCAGGACTGTCAGGGCTCCAGAAGTGTCTTGGACTGTCTCATCACCATCACTCATCATCATCACTGGGTACCCTGGCTGTCCACCCCTCAATTCCTCTTCCAGTTTCTCCTCAATGTCTTATCAGCTGATGTTGGCAAACTGTGGGCAGCCAAACTGACCGCAGCACCTGCAGCTTCCACACCAGGGCTCCAGCACCAATGCAGAGAACCCTCATTTCTGACAGAAACAGCCCAGACACGACACAACCAATTCTGGCAGGTTCCAGCCCTGTCCAACATGAGGTCTCCCCTCCTTGGCACGTGGCCACCCACCTCACCAGCCCAGCCAAAGGTGCCCATGCACCCACCCAGCAATGTCCCCCAGACCCAGTCCACCTGTGCTCCCTCTGTGCTCCTGTATCCCCACTGTGAGAGCTCCCAGGGTCCTTCAGCACCCAGATTTCCTGCTCTGGCTACCACTTCCTCAGACTGCTTGACTGAACTCTCCAATTTTAATTGACTTCCCCTCTTCCCACCTAAAGCACAGCCACAGACACCCCCTTGCCACACACAGCACAGCCACACGTGAGTACAGACACCCAGGGACACACACACAACTACTGCCTTCCCAGATCCAAATGGATTTTCACCAGTAATTCCTCCTCAAGCTATTCCCAGCAGTTTTCCACTCACTATCCCTGACTTTTTCCCCCTCTCATTAATTTAGTTGTAGCTTTGTAGAGTCAGTTCTTGGAATGTGTCCATAGCAGGGGCTCCTCACGCACCCACAGTGGGATCTCCATGGGTGATGCTGAATTCCCAGAGATCCCAGGACTTCTGGCCACCTTCCTCCTCCTCCTGCCTGTGCTGCTGCCCAGTCCTACTGACCATATCCTGCTGCTCCTGCTCTCAGCATGCCTAGAAAGCACCAGTCTCCCACACATCACAATAATCTCAGGAAACAGTAAAAGGATTTAGGCTTTGCTCATCTCAGCCTTCCTAAACCCATTTCTGCAGATAAGGGATTATCCCCAGTGTCAGCAGCAAGACAGCGGCAATTCAGCAAGAGAAGGCAGAGCTCCAGCTGCAAAACAAACACTGCTGGGGCTGGAGGGGGTCTGCTGCAGAGCTCCCTCTCCCTCTTGGGGTGTCTGCTCCTCTTCTGTATCTCTGTTGGAGAAGCTACACCCACACCAAACCAAGCTGCACAGCACATGTGCCTCCAGACAAGGATGAGAAGCCCGTGACATTCTCTTGTTTCCTGGAGGAACATTTCCTGGAGGTTCCACATGATGTTAAAATACTTGGAGATCACTAACAAACATGCAAGGTGCTGTTGCACAGGGGACAAGCAGCATCCCAAATCCTTGCAGAGAGCAGTATCTTGCCCTGATGGCCATCCCAGGTGTCACTCCTTGCCATGCTGAACAGCAAACCCCAGTGAGCACATCCCAAAATTAGCCTCTCACAACCTACATTTTAGTGTCCTTTGGCTCTGACCCCCTCCCATGCCTCATGGGAACTTGTTTCTGAATTTCCAAATTAATCTCAATAAATTCACAGCCCTGGGTTACAAATAGCCCTTGCATTAATGAGCAGGTTCTCTGTGGCTTCAGGAACACAGGAGGGTGGGGGTGAGGCTGCCAGCACAGACAATGACGTGCCAGAGCAGGTCCAGAGGTGGCCACCAAAATGGTCCAAGGGCTGGGACAAGGGGCAGTGGGGCCAGGTTGGACATGGGGAAGAAATGTCAGACCATGAGGGTTGTGAGGGGCTGACAAAGGTTGCCCAGAGAAGCTGTGGCTGCCCCATCCCTGGAAGTGTTCAAGGGCACACTGGACAGGGCTTGGAGCAAGTGGTCCACTGGTCTAGATTTAAGGTGTCCCTGTCAATGGCAGGGATGTGGAACTGGACGATCTTCCAAGATCCCTTCCAACCCAAAGCATTCTGTGATTCTGAGTCTGTCCACCACTGAGCTCTACCACACCTCCTGAACACAGCACAGTGCTACAAATCACAAATTTCAGATTCATGTGTGGGCTCCTCTCTTCCTGTCCAAACAATTCTTGGTACGACAAACTGAATTCTCTACAAAACCAAGGCAAAGTAACGCAGTAAAGCAAAGCCAGAAGCACTTCCAATGTCCTGGATCCTTCTGAAAGTCATGGGAATGTCACCACATTTTGCTCACTGCAGATCTCAGATTTTAAATAGATTATTATGCTTCTAGGCCATGAGTGCCCTTTGCAGCCCCGAGTGGACCCTGTGCCACTGCAGCAACCAGGAGCACAGCAGCTCTTCTCTGAACATTCCCAAACAGAAACACTGCAACATCTTACAGTGAAAGCACAAGAGCCTGGAGGATGATTGAGCAATAGCCTGAGACGTGAATTCCCTTGAGAAAATCCCTCGATTCCAGGCTTGGCCAAGGAAATTTTAGCTGAGAAGTAGCTGCCAGGAAAGGGGAGCCTGAGACAATTTAGGAAGGGCCAGTCCTTTCAAGTAATTACAACATCTACTGATTTGATATAGGGCTGGAGGCAGGGCAAAGTGTGTGTGGGCACCCTCCTGGGACCTCTAGGCACAATTCCACAAGCAGACATGGAATTGCACTGGGCAAATTAGAAATGGATGACCAGAGGGAGACCTGGTCTCAGCTTTCCAGCCTCCAAGCACTGGGAGCACGAGCATATGGAAGCAACACCTTTGCCAAAATGAGGGCTGCCAGTAGCCCAGAGCCATCCTGCAGGGTCAGACCTGCAGCATCCAACACCCCTGTGACACCAGCCTCACGATGGAGGTGAGCAGAGGAGAGCCACGTGGGCTCAGTGTTACACTGAAGGTGGAGTGTGGGGCAGCAGAGCTGTTCCAGTGCTGCCCCCCAGCAGGTGAGCCTGGGTAGGGTCCAGCCCCACCCCACAGTGCTCAGCCCTGCTCTCCCTGCACAGCTCAGCCCTCGGATCCACCCACTCCACAATAAGGGCTTTGCAGACACAGACGCTGGAAAGCCTCTGCTGACCTCACTGCCCCCACAGCCCCCTCCTGGCTCCCCTGGGAGAGCACTGCTCCCACCTGGGAACAGGGAACCACAGCATTCACAGTTCTAACTCTGCCAGATCTCCTGGACACCCAAATGTTGCTACCTCTTGGGTGCTCAAACCCCTAACTCCAGCTCCTGGCAGCAAACATCTTTTCTGGAAGACAAGGCTGGGGAAGAAAGAGGTCTGGAAGGGGTAGGCTCTTTGACCAGCCAGCAACAAATTGTCCCCAGGACAGAGATGCAAGGTCCCAGCTGCCCACCTCTGGCTCCATGAGGAGCTGTAACATTTCTGGGCCCAAGTAGGTGACACTTGGTCTGTTCTGCCTTATCCACTGACTTTCCCAGGCAGCCCGGGGCAAGACAACAGCCAACCACCACAAAAACACCACTTGCTCTTCCCAGCCTCCACACTGCCCCATCCTTTCAGAAATCCCCTCTGGCAGCCTCACTGGACTCTCACCACCTCTCCAGGTCTTAAAGCCACCAGTCACCAGGCAAGTCCAAGCCCTCCCTCACCATCCAGCCATGGCCACCTGCAGACACAGGGGATTGTGCCTGGCTCCAGCCAGCCCATCAGTGAAGCCACGTGCCCACAGGACACCCAGAGCTCACTCACTTTCATCAGGGTTGGGTGAAGCGAGAATGGCGCTGTGCTTCCTTTTCACTTCTTCCACATTTTCCGAAATTTTATCGATGAAGCCTCGAATTTCTTCCACCTGTGAAGTGAGACAAGACAGGTGGTCTGTGACAGACCTGGACTTTTGGAAAGTGAAGGGATTATTACACCCTATTCCAAAGCAACCATGACATGTCTGAACCACTGCACACACCCTCCTGGATAAATATTTTCCAGCTTGAAACTATAGCACCACTGTGGAATCAGACCTTCTCCATCCCACCAGCCAGCTCTGAGTCACAGCAGTGTAACACAGACTGTATGTCCTGTATTCTTTGTGATACACTGAGAAACTTTGGGGATTTATATAAACCAGCATCAGATTGATTCCCAGAATCTGTGCCTCTGGCAGAACATTGCTGAGACTGCACAAGCCAGGCTGGTAACGGCTCAGCCCCCCATGGCTCCTTGCTCCAGAAAAACCTCCAGAAACGTCCAATTTGATCCTCACTCCTCGTTCCAGGGAGGCCACATTTTCCAGAAGATCCATTCCATCATTTTCTCTGCACTTCTGTGCTACAGGAAGACACCAGCACCGCCTAAGAGGGGAAACCTCTCCTGTGTTCTCTGCCTGCCAGGCTGCTTACCCTCTAACTGAGTCTTCTCCTCCGGCTCACACCACTCCTTTGCTCATCTTCCTCCACCTGCACATCAGATTTATCCCAGTTCCCACTCCATTGCCTGCACAGATCCATTTTAACACCCCCCACACACATGCCATGCTAAGGGTGTGCTAAAAATCCGCAAGCAGATCTTACAGCCACCCACATGCCAGAAGACAACCTCTTGTTTGGGAACGGGAGGCACAAAATTAAATCAGTCCCATGCAGAGACTGCTGCTCTGCAGAGGTGCTCTGGGGAAAGGCCTGAGAGCTGTGTGTGAGGCTTCCCTGCTCCCATCACCTGGCTAACAGCCTCACTGGGTTCTGGAGGAGCAGGAGAACATCTGTAGGGCAGCACAGCTTCAGGTCTGCAGGGAAGCCAGGTTCCTGATGTTCAGCATTCAGCATAACCCTGACCATCAGCTGAGCAGCACCAGCCAGGGCAGGAGCTTCACCCCCATCCCCAGTGGCTGCAGGAAGCCTGGACCATCCACAACCCACCCTGATGGCAGCAGAAAGGTCTGAACCAGCTTCAAAGCCACACTGGAGGAACAAACCTCTCACCTGCTCAAAGAACTCATCCATGAAACGATCCCGGTCCACGCTGACGGTGACTTCATCGTCATCATCACTGTCCTTTGCCTGCAACAACAGAGAGAGAGAGGCATCAACGAGTGCTTGCTGCAGAGCTCATGGCTCCATTTCAGGAGCTCCTAGAAGGCATCTTCCCCTTCTCCTGTGCTCACTTGCTCCAAGGAGCTGGGGCAAACACTCAACAGAGTGTGGAACACGCTGGCCACTGCTACTCCAAGCCCCCAGGACTCAGAGAGCAGAGAACAGATACACCCAGCAGTGAGGGATGGCCAAAATATCACAGCCCCAAGGCATGACCCCCACAGCGAGCATGGGACACAGCTAAGGACACCCCACATCCATGGAGTGGGAGCTTCAAGGGCACCCTCAGCCCTGTGTGAGCACAACAGCTCTGCAAGGAGCTGCAAGGAATGGGAAACACCACAGACTCCACCATGGGAAACACCAGGACGCTGCCATGGGAAACACAAGGGATGTTGAGAATGGGAAAGCACAAGGGATGCTGCCATGGGAAAGCACGAGGGATGCTGTGATGGGAAAACACGAGGGATGCTGCCATGGGAAACACAAGGAATGCTGTCACAGGAGAAAGCATGGGCGATGCCATGATGGGAAAACACGAGGGATGCTGCAATGGGAAACATGAGGGATGCTGTCACAGGAAACACAAGGAATGCTGCCACGGGAAAGCATGAGGGAAGCTGCAATGGGAAACATGAGGAAAGCTGCAATGGGAAACAAGAGATGCTGCAATGGGAAAACATGAGGAATGCCATGTCAGGAAAACATAAGGGATGCCATGACGGTAAAAACAAGGGATGCTGCCATGGGAAAGCACGAAGGAAACTGCCATGGGAAACACAAGGGATGCTGTGATGGGAAAATAAAAGGAGTGCTGCAGAGTGCAGGAAAGGTGGGAGCAAACAGATAATACAGCAGAACTAGTAAAGTCGCAGCAGGCAAATGAGGGGTTGTCCTTGTCTGCAGAAGCATCTGTGTCATTGTCACCAGAGATGAAAACACCTCCTGTCCCAGCAAGGCGGGGGATGCAAGCTCTCAAGGGAAGGAAAAATTACAGTCCTCCACATAAGGAGACATTTGAAAGAGTATTATCCAAATCAGTTACATGAAGGAGGGAAATGGACAATTAACAGGTTGGAAAAGTTTCTTTTTACTCCATTTTTACAAAGAGAAGAAGCCAGTGGAATGGAGATTAAAGACAGGACTGCCTCTGCTCATCTCATCATCATGCCATAATGACTGCAGTTTTTGCAGATATTTACTCATCACCCCATGGGCCCTCTGCACTCTGCAGAGAGGTAACCACCACAGTCTCCAGAGAGAGCCCTCTTACATTGAAATAAGCCACATGAAATATCTATCCTATCCCCTAAAATTGTCTTTTCACCCTACACTGACTGATTTGGGTGGTATCATCCAGAGACCTCAGCTTTCAGCCCTGCCACCACTTTTTTGCCTGGGTGACTCACACACACTTATCCCATTCATGGTTATCCAGAGCCTCTGTGATCAGAAAGCTCCCACAATCCTAGTGAAAGTCTCACCCTGACAAGGAAAAGCAGGCATGGTGCTGCTCTTACCCACCACTCTGTGGACACAGAAAACTGTGCCCTGAAGTCTGAAATTGTGCCCATTTGTAGCACAGCCACTCAGGGAGACAAGGCTGGATGGAGCTTGGAGCAACCTGATCTAGTGGAAGGGATCTCTGCCCATGGCAAGGGGTGGAACTGGATGGGAAGCCCCAGTCAGCCCCTGCAGCCCTGTACAGGAAAACACACTTTCAATAAAACTTCCCCAAAAGCCTATCCAGCTGTTTTTGTCATCATTTGGCAGGATCTCAATTTGCCATAATTCTGAGCCCCTTTCTGAAGCCTGTGAGCAGAGTATTCCCACTGATAATTTTAAATGCAGGCTTGTACAGAAACCAGGAAGGCCAGGGACTGGCAGCAGAGGAGGAGCAGCAGGAGAGCAGGGTACCTGCCAAGATGCTCTTCTCATTGTCACCTCTTGCTTGTCCCTTCCACATCCAAAACAGGCCTGGCTCATTGCCCAAAGGACGCCACATCCCTGCCCAGTCCTATCCCTGCTGCCTGCTGGACCCTGCCATACCCAGAAATCCCAAAGGAATGGGACCCACCACCCATGGAAGTGGGTCAAAAGCCACACACAGCCCTGTCAGAGGCATTCATGGTTGAGGGTTCACCACTCCTGGGAGAGCAGAAGCTGATGGACAGGCAGAGAGATGTTATTTAGGGCAGGCACTGGACAGGGGGAATGGCACAGAGCCCAGCCAGAAGCCCCATGAAGAGGAAATTACACAGATGGAGCCTGCTGGTCAGGAGGGCACATGTCACTTGTCACTCCAGGCTGGAGAAGGGCACCATCTGTCCCACCCACGTCACTGGAAACACCCTCGGTGCCTTACCACCTCCAACACCCAGTGTCAGGCTGATCAGCCCACCCCACCAGCTCCTGAGCCAGTCAGCAGCAGCCACATCCTCTAATGGGTGACTTGGACTGGAACCAGAGGAGATGCCACTGGGAGAACAGCTCAGGGGACGCAGGGCACTGATGGATCAGCTGCTCCCAGCATCTCCCACCACTCTGGCACTCACTGCTTTACCCCAAGCTAGAGGCATCCCCCCCATGATTAATCCTAATACAAAAGTAGGAATGAAACCAAAACTTTCCAAAGGAAACATAAGCCAACAGTGTTTTGGCTTCATGCATCCCAGCTGTGAGCATCCCAGGTTTCCAAAGTCACATGGAAAGCTCCTGTCTCAGTCAAAACTACCTGCAGGTGCTGCTCAGCACAAGCAGCAAACAATTCCCCAGCCCAGGAACTCACAGTGTCAGGCACACCATCCTCCCAGTACCCTTCCACCTCTGCCTCAGGCCCTGCCAGGCAGCACCAAGAACCCAGGGCTTCCAGGCTTTTCTCCCACACAAGGTAGGTGAGGATAACCCTTCTTTTGCAAGGCTTTTATTTCTCCAGTCCAGCAGAGGCCAAGCAGTGGCACCGTGTGGGCACTGTCCCAGCAGCTGGGGTGGCTCTGGGAGCTGCTGCCTCTCCAGTGTCACTGAGCAGGAGGAGCTAGATGGGTAGGGCAGATCAGTCAGAGCTCCTCCAGCGACTTTTGGAGCCTCACAGGGCTCAAAGTCCCTCCACAAGGGCAAAAATCCCGAGTGGAGGCAGATACCATCCCTGACAAAGAGGAGTAGGAGCTGGGAAGACATCCAGAGCCCTGGAGCATCCTGGCTCTGCAGGTTTTGTAACCAGCACATGCTAGTAAATTAATTATTGAGGAAATGACATTCCCGTGGCTCCAACCCACCCCATTCCCTCTCCAAGCACTTTCTGAAAGAGGCAAAGGAGCACAGAAAAGGCTTGATGCTTGCTTTCCTTCAAATAGCAAAGCTGTCAGGGGGGGCTGTGCAGGCATTACCAGATCTCTGTTACCTCAGCAGTGGCCACATGCATCCCCAAGTTCCTGTCCTCTCCTGTCAGTGCTGCAGATGGATTTGACCACATCCAGATGCATCCAGGGAGCTGGTGCAGGCAGCAGAGGCAGGGCAGAGGAACAACAGGTTCAGCCACTACTGGGCACATCTGAACCCTGACACATCCCTCTACCAAGCCCTGCTGGCACATTTTCCTAGGAAACATCCGTGTCCAAACAGGCAGTGAGCCCCCGCCTGCCTCCATCACCCCACGGGGCTCTGAGCCCAGGCCATGCTGCCTCCCACCCCACCAGAGACAAGGCAAGCCTCACAAAGCACAAGGGAAAGAAAAAGCCAGACCAGCTGCCATCCCCCTTTTAGGGACCACTCAGTTGAGCAAAGAAAGGCCTCATCCCTGAGATGCAGGAAGCTGCTCAAGGGTTTCACTCCCAAGCTGCATCTGTTTGTTTTTATTTACAAACACCTCCGTGCTGCTCTGCCCAGATGAAGAGATTCCAGCCATCTGGGCTCGCCTTGCTTTGTAAAACGATGCCCTTTCTGTACCAAGACGAGAACACGGCAGGATGCACAGGCTGCTCCTGGGGATGCCTCTGAGCAGCTAGAGGTCGTGTCTGGGATTGTGTCCCCACAAAGAGTGGCACATGGGGGTCCAACACCCAACAGCAGTCACCTTGCTCCCCATATCCAACCCCCCAAGCCCAGGGCACTGCTGCTGACACTGAGAGCTCCCAGGGCAGCTCATTCCAGCAGGCAGCTGTGCAGGGAAGGACAAGGTCAGAATAACTCAGCAGCGAGTGGCACTGACATCTCAGCCATCTCACAGAGCTTAAAGGACACGTAGGAGAGCCTACAGATGCCCAGATCTCTGGAAACATCCCAGCCTGGCTCTGAGATGCTTGGCAGCACAAGGGCAGCTCAGCACAGCCTCACCTGGACAAAGTCCAGAGCACCCATGGATCCCCCACCCATCAAACGAGTCCCTCACCCTGGGGCTGCCTCCTCACACTTCAGGGTTTGCTTTAGGCATCTGCAGCAGCCAAAAAAAATCCCTTCAAACAGGACTGAAGTCCTGCTCCTGAAGGTTTTCAGGGAAGAACCCAAGACCACGGTTTAAGCTGCCTATGGTCTCAGCTCAGCCCTTTTTGCAGATCATACAGTACAGCCATGTACCACAATAAATTTGTCATTCCGTGGCACACGGGCCCCAGCTCAGCTGTGTCCTATTCCAGTATTAAATCCAGCTGGCAGCCTCTCTCCCTGGTGCTCTCCAGGGATCAATGTTGGGGCCACTCCTGTCTAGTAGCTTTATCAATGATGTGGATAAGAGGATCGAGGGCACTCTCAGCAGAAGACACCAAGCTGGGTGAAATGTTGACCTGCTGGAGGGCAGGAGAGGTCTGCAGAGGGATCTGGATGGGCTGCATCAGTGGGCCAAGGCAAATTCCATGACATTCAACAAGGCCAAGTGGCAGGTCCTGCACTGGGGTAACAACAACCCCATGGAATGCTCCAGGCTGGGAGCAGAGTCACTGAAAAGCTGGGAAAGGCTTTGGGGTGCTGGCTGG